CGGGTCCTGTCAGGGTGGGAGGGCCCGGCCGGGCTCCCCCTGCGCGGGCCGGTGCGAGCTGGGGGAAGCGGGTTCGTGCCGCTGTCACCTGGAGGTGCGGGGCTGGGCACCCCTCTCTGGCACCCGCTCCCCAGTTCCGTGCCGCTTTGCTGGCCTGGCTCGGCACGGGAAAGGTTGGGTGGGGCAGGAATCGATGGTGTGGTGACAACGCACCTTCCCGGTGCTGTTTTAAAGCGACACGGGAATCCCGTCTGAAAATGCGGGCGGTAGATTCTGGGAATACATACATGTACCCCCATATGCATTGTACCAAGTGCATTGTAAGGCACGGGAGGCTTGCATGGTTTTGCATCCTTTTATGCGCTTAGATGTGCTATGTGAAAACTTGCAGGTGTTCTTATTTTTGCATTAGTGAATAGTTCTATTGATATGGCTTAATCTGGTGTCTTTGTTATCAAGCTTAATGTAAAAACATTTATAGATCCCTTGTCTGTTGTAGAACTACTTATGCACTTTCTTTACTGACGTGGATTTACTTAAAAGCAGTAAAATCAAGCTTTTATTCACTCAAACCATTCATACAGGTTTTCATACCCATGTTCTAAATCTTTGTTAAATTCTTAAGTGTTTATGGTTTTTTTCCTTTTGTTTATTGTTGATCTTGTCTGTATTCAATTGGGTTAGTCAAGTAGCAAAACTTCTGTAGGATTTTTTGTTTTTAGAACATCCAGGAATTTCTTAGTATTGTACTGAAAGTCTTGGGGAAAAATTATAATCCACATATTTTACATGTTTGTAAGCATCACACTTGTGCTTACTTTGCTTTGCAATTTATAGTAATCCCACTAACTCTTTTACTAAATCTGTATTTTGAATCCTACAACTGTATGTGGAAGGATGTATAGCGTGCCCACTGCTCTGTGCCAATATCCTTGTGTTCTCAGCAAAGTTGGCTGCTTATCTTTGCAGAACCTTGGAGCAGGATCAGGTAGCCCCATCTGTGGTGCCTAACATTTTTTATAAAGCAGTTCCTTCAAACAGCATCAGAGCTACCTTAGGAGTGGATGCTGTCACCATGTCATAGTTCTGTCTGTTTGTTTTACTCTTGAGACTGTGTTAAGCAAAAGAAACATGGAAGTAGGAGTGTGGGTTGTTGGTTTTTTTTAATTCTTACATTAAATCTTTTCACTCTTCTGGTTTTTAGTAAGCTAGTGTGGTTCCTTTAATGATAGCTTATTTAGAGGAAAACTTCTAACTTAAAACAAAAACATAAGAAAACCCAAGGCCCAGGGCAAACAGTGATATGATTTCTGCTGCTCAGTGTTTCAGCCATGTCTGACAAAAGTGAACTGAAGGCGGAGTTGGAGCGCAAGAAGCAACGATTAGCTCAGATCAGAGAGGAGAAGAAAAGAAAGGAGGAAGAAAGAAAGAAAAAAGAAGTAAGAAATAATTTTATCTTTGAAATGTGACTATTTGCATATGTAACTTGCCCAGAATTTCAGGGAAGGTTCACTTAGGCATTTACTACGTGTTATTCAGGGAGTGTCTGTTGAATGGTTGGTTGCTGATGCAAATGCAGCACTTGTATTTTCTGGTAAGAGCCAAAACCTGCTCTTTTCTGTAGAGTTACCTATAGGTGAGTTAGATTTGTTTTATTTTAATCCTATGCTTGCATGTAGTTTGGATTTCTAAAACTATGTGTCTGCATTGTTAACCAAATCACTGAACCTCTGCTTAATGAGTTGGGGTGGTGTTATTGAGAGAACTAATTTCTAAAGTGCAGTTCTGAGGATGTCAGTATTATTATTGTGACAATCAGTGATTGATTACTGTGTTTCTCCTGAACTCAGATCGTTCCTCATAAATGAAACCTTTGCAGGAAAATTTTGGGGTACTTTTTCAAGGCTTGTCTGTCTTGATTATTATCTTGTAGTTCTAAATTAGCATGTTACTGGAGACTGGGCAGCTCCCAGCTACATGAGTGAGTTGGAGGAAATGTGTCAAATTATGTTCTGATGGTTGTAACAATGTAAAGCCTGTATCTGAGATTCCACGTGTGATGCTATAGCTTATCAGTTGAAAACTTCGGAATAGCTTTTTTAAAAGGAATTGTGCAGTGGATTAGAAGCATAATGTGCAGCCATGTGAGGAGCAATTAGTCTTTAATCATGACATTGAATGTGATTTTTCTTCCCCAAATTTGGCTTATTTCAGTTAATAACTGGCATCACTAATACTTTCTTGACAAGAGAGGGGTGTTTCTTACTGTCATTCTAACCAAACAGTGTTTTCTTTGACACAGTTATTGTCATTTCAAAATCAGAACAATATGATTATGTCTTTAAAATACTTTTATACACTGGTACATAATACTTTTTTCCACTGTTTGTATTTTACAGGGCTTAGCATCAGTGTAAAAAAGGTATTATTGATCTTATGAAGTGTCAGTCATTTTGGCAAATGAGAATGCACTTTCTGCATGTCATATATGTCTTCTCAAGACAGTATGAAGTCTACAAATGTTTGTGATTCCTGTCTGTTGTTTACTTTATCTACAGAAAGGACCATCAGAATTCTTAGTCAAATATCTAACCTATATCATGATAGGTTTCAGTAGCATGAAAGAACCTATGAGATCTCAAAACCTGAATGGAACAGTTTTTCATACCTGTTAAATGCTGTAACTTAATTATTTGATTTTATTTAGACTGATCAGAAGAAAGAAGTTCTTCCTGTACAGGAAGAATCTGATCTTGAAAAGAAGAGAAGAGAAGCTGAAGCATTACTTCAGAGCATGGGGCTGACACCTGAGTCTCCTGTTGGTAGGGATGTTAATATTGTTGTTCAAGACAAATGTCTGGGGCTTTTTGGGGAGAGAAGGCGGGGGGGTAAAGGGAAAGGTTGGAGAGGAGGGTGTTGTATTTTTTTAATTGTTGGTATTAGTTTTTTGTTTGTTTTATTAGGATTAAGCTATTTATATAACTAGCATGAAGATTCTGTGGCTGCTATTTTGGGTGCTATACTTATCTGGTTTTTGTACTGTTTAGTCCTGCATGACCTCCGTTATAAATGTCAAGTGATGTGCTTCCGTGCATGTGACTAGTACTATTCTTGCTCTTAGAGGATTATTTGGAGTTTTTGAGTTAAAATATATAAATATTATGTATTTGTTCTTTTTTTCCTAATTTCCCTGCACATTATTCTTCTGTATTTTTTTATTTCTCTTCTGCATAATGCTAAATTTAAATTCTGATATTTTTATGCAGAATTGCCTTGTTTCCTATTCATCTTTTTCACCCTGATTGTCCTTATCTCAAGTATCTGACTGACTTTGATGGAGTAATAGCAAGGCTAACTATAAAATTTAACTATCAAGGATGATGATTCATATTTCTTCCACTCTTGGATGGGTTAGCATATTGGTTGTTTCTTTTTGTCTTTACATTGTCACATGTCTCTGGAAGATGAAAGCAAAGAGGGTGATAGTTCTACTCCTTTTTTTGTCTCTAGCTTTGAAATCTAAGGGACTTAAAACGTATTTTTCAGTTTGGCTTAATGGCAAGGATCTATTTCAACTGGGTTTGCAAATACAAAAAATAAATTTGTTACGAATATAGTATATCTGTGACTACATCTTCATAATTGCTTTTTTGTAGTCCTCAAGTGTTCAAAAGTGAATGTGAACTAAACACCATTATAGCTGCTCCCATTCCAACAGCCACAGCAGTAATTTTTACTAGTTTGAACTGTTCTCACAGTTTAGAGACTGCATTTGGGCTATGTTAGCACTAGCATGTGGCATTTTAAGTAATCAGTTCTTACCTACTTGAGGCTCTGTATGGCAGGCTAATAGTTAAACACATTTTGTGTGAGGTTTTGCTAAGGGAGATAAGAAGACTTTTGTAGAAATGCAGGTGGTTGTTGTTGTTTTAAATCTGTGAGAGAGAACCCAAAATCTACTGAGGACAGTTCTCAAAGCAAGTCACTGCATAGATGCAAAGAGTAGCTGTTTATGGAAAGCTCTTTGAGGTGTTGATGTGTAAAACCAGGGCATACCCCTGCCAGCTTGTTTCATTCCAGCAAGCATCTACTTCAACATACACAGATTCTCAGCAAATTACTTCTGTTCCTTTCAAGATACCTAGATCTGAATCCTCAGTGAAGCTCAAATGTCCTGCTCGATGCCCCAGTAGCACACCTGAGGCATGGCTCTGTCTGCCTACTGGGCACTGGCAAAGTATGACAGCTAGTACAGTGATCCTGTGCCTGCACTGAAGCTAACTTGCACCTGACCAGTTTGGTGTGCAGGTAGCTTGAACTTTTATTGTCTGTGTAGGTGGATAGCTTGAGGCTGGATTCCTTCATAGTAAATTACCTTAAAAATTCCTAAGGCAGTTACTGTCCTGTTCATTGCCAGAGAGAGGTAGCTCCCCTTATAGGGCCTTAGCAGTGGAAGTAAGCTTTTGATATCTACCATACTTGATATGTAGAAAGCCATAAATGAGTGAGCCAAAATAACTTTCAAGAAGGCATTATAGTTTCATCCTCTGTTGGAGTAGATGGAGTTTTACTTTGTCTTTAAATAAGACTGTTGGTCTTTAAATAGTTTTCACCTCACTAATGCAAAGACTTTCTTGAGAATAGTTTGTCCCACGAGAGGGCACTGTGGCATCAGAACTCCAGACTTCTTTATCCTTTCTTAACGCTAGATAGCGCTGACCGACTTCTGTAAGTGGTGATGTGGTATGTTTCTAATGTCACCTCTTAGTAACGAAACGGTGACAGCAATATGTCATTGTTGCTGACAGCGCACAAAAATAATGTAGAAATATAAAGGCCTATGGACGTTTTCTTTAATAAATGGCAATAATGAGTTGAACAATCATACACCCATGTTTATATAGATGTGTCAAGTGTATATATGAAGAATAACTTTAGACCTATATGAAATTATCTCCTGTATAAGGAATAAATTTTTAATTGAAGCACTCTGATTTTGTAAATTTAAGATAGAAATTTGTCAATCAGAGTCTTGTCTCTGTTTTGGGATGGGATGGAATTATTCTTCAGAATGTACCATAAACCTGTGATTTCAGCAAATTCTCTAGAAATGTTGCAGATCTAAATGTAGAATTCTTGCTTAGCTAACCCCTGACAGAGTGGATATCAATTTATATACATGACTTGTGTTTGGTTCATTAAGGATTCTATTTAAGGGTTCCTGAGGAGTGAGTGTGTTCTTGCTGAAAAATGAAGTATGTAGAAGGACCTTCAACAGACACCCTGACTCTTAAGGATAAAACTGAGTTTCATTAAATAATGAGTTTCAGTATTTCTAAAAAAGTTGAAGAAATATTGAAATAGCTTTGGTCTGTAACAAGCTGCATGATATCATTCGCTAATATGTATCGGTTCCAAAAAACATGTTGCTTTTAGAATAGTAATTGCTGCCTTCATCTACATGCTGAAAATTACTTGATTTTTTTCTTAGAAGTTTCAATACTTGACAAACATTCTAGTACTATTGTAAAAAGAAAAGAATCTGAAAATCTCCCGAAATCCAACATGGGAACCTTTGTTGTAATAAACAGGATTTATGTTGATATGATACAAACTAGAACAAAAATAACTGGATGCCCTATGACAAAGCCACATTTTTGTTCAGTTCTTCCATGTTTATATATTTTTGAAACAAAATTACCAGTTAAATACATTCAATGTCTGATTTTTAAGAACTGACATCAAAGCTATATTAACAACCATCTTCCTTCTATGTTTAAGCAACATGATTTAGTGGAAATTACCCTTTGAAAACTGATGCCATCATTTACCAGAAGTTCAGTTTAAAAATATTTTCTCAATTCATTTTCTCTTAAATGTCTTTCCCTCCATGTCTTTTTGGATGTTCCAGATGCACAAATGCCAAACAATTGCATGTCCAGCATGAGTTGTTAACATTGTCTTTTCCCCTCTCTTTCTACTATTCATTTTCATCCATGTATTTTTTGTTTACCATCACTTTTTTTTTAAATACATGTTAAATTAATTTGAAAACATCCTAAGCTGTGCAACCTCTGCGAATAGTAACAGCGGATACCTGTCTGTTTCACTATTTAGTCCCTCCTCCTACTTCTCCGTCTTCCAAATCTGTGAGTACGCCAAGTGAGGCTGGGAGCCAGGACTCTGGTGATGGCGCTGTTGGATCTAGGTATGTCACTCTTCTTGTCCCATTCCTTTCCTTAAAACATGTCTGAATAGTTAAGCTTTAGAGGAAATCGGGGTTAATTACTTGGTTATAACACCATAATGTGAGGTTACAGTGTTATTGAATCAGTGACTTTTACAGAAGTACTTTACTTTAAAATTTGAAATGCTTCCTAATTTGAGATTGCCAACATGAACATGGTGTTGTTTAAACTTGAAGGTTTAAAGTAAAGTAAATCTGAAAGTCTTGTGGTAATATTCTTGTAAGCATGAATGTCTTGGGACAAAGAAGACCTGGAAAAATCCAACTTCTGGCCTCTTCACAGCTTTTTCTAAAGGAGAATGTGCATGGATGATAGTCTTATTTATGTTTTCCATCTATTCTAGTTGGTCTAATAAGAGATACTGTCTTTAAACTTTGCCTTGCTTCTGGTTTTAATTTTCTGTTTCTTCACTCAGAACAGTATTTCCCATTATTTCACTTTGCAGCCATCCCTGTAACACAGCTGCACCACTCACATCTCTGCTATGGCCAAAACACAGCACCATGTTAGCACAGCCACAGGTTTCTTTCTGTTTCAGTACTTGCTATAATGAATACATGACCATTTTTATAGTGCATGGCAGTTTGAGCAAAACTGCTCTAAAGGGAGTCAGATAAATATTTCTGTTAAACTAGGAATTCAGATTGGAAATATATGGACGATAATGTAGGAAATACTACTTCCAAAGGATATTTCTACTGTTTCTGCTGTCTGTGAATAAGAGCAGTATTTGCCTAATTAATGTTAGTAACTTACATTTTCTTAAAAAATGTAAATTAATATAATTCACTGAATATGTACTATGGACAAAGTGTAGTTAAAGCACAGTTCCTAAAGCAGTTACCAGCTACCTTTGTAAGCATATGAATAGTTGTTTTGGAGAAAGAGTAAATACTTAGATTGCTTTGAAACACCTTTTAAAAAGACTGCAGTAATGTCTTGTGTATATGTATTATGCATGCATAACTATATACAATCTTAATATGAAAATATTCAAGATTTTAATGACAAAGGTCACAAAGTGTCTATTTTTAAGTAGCAACCATTAAGTGAAAACAGCACATCAGGCAGCAGATATGAACCCACTCTTATTTTTTTTAACAGTGCCCAGGTGGGATCTTGTGCATAGCTTATTCACTATACAATTGAAGTTCACCTGTCATGTTAATTAAGAACAAATATACCTAATGTACAGGTAAATGGTGAAAGTTAGGTGGAGGCTTCATAGAATTAGCTTAAATGCAGAAAATACTTTTTAGAGATGTAGGAAGCACAAGGAATATCCCTGAACTCAGAAGTTTGGGCACATGTGGAAGAATAGGAACTTCTGTTCCTGAACCTTGTAGGTAAATCCATTTAACTTAAGGCATAACAAACGTGGAAAGCAAAATGAACAGTATTTTACATAATTTTGGTACACATATAATAGCAGAATTTATCTTGAAGTGTTACTTTTATTCTGAAATGAAGAGAAAGTTCTAGTCAAATAGGAGTGCAGAATACACAGGTAAATCTATTTTTAAAAGCAGACTATCCCTGACACCACCGAAGCAACTGTTGAAAGTTAAAATAATGCTTTTGGAAGCAGGAAAGACACCTCAGTAATGGCTAGGTCTTAAGCAGGCACAGATGTTGCAGCATTTTAGATTGATAGCCGTTTCCCCAAGTTCCTCTCAAGTGGGACTGAAAAAGTTGAGAAAATTTTTTACAAGTATTTTAATGTAGCATTTGAATCTGTAGATAACTTTTGGAGGAGCAACATGAAGGTTGGGGGGAGGTGTGGTTTGTTTTTGCTTTTTTCTTTGATTTTTCTTTTCTAATGCAAGATTGACCAAAATATGAGCAATATCCAGCATGAAGTCTCAGGCACCAAATTAAACTCCAAGCTTAATTTCATTCAGTCAAGAAAAATAGCAGACACTTTAAGTATACTGAATAGCAGGCAGCAGACTAAATGAAAATTTGTGGAGAAGGGATGAGACTAAAAATGAAAGGGGAGGAAAGATTTATTCCCCCTTCACATTTCTTCTGTTACAAAAGTGATTTGAAATGGATCTATTCTGTTCATTATTCCACATGACTTTGAAATGCGTTATTCACATACAGCCCACTATTTCTAAGAGATTTAAATACCTTAAATGGAGTTGGCTCTAAATCAGATGATACTTAAAAGCCCAAGGCAGTGTGTTACCCATAATCACTGCAGTGTCACAGTTTAATTCTTTCCTAATAGCTCTGTGTTTGCCTTTTAACTTTTGTATTTACTGCATGTATTATTGCACTGAGTGCTGAATTTCCCTTAACTGATGTTATATTTTTTGTTTCTTGTGAACAATGAAATAACTATAAGCTTACTGTAACTCTAGCATTTCATAGTGTGTATTTGCTTCACTAATCTCTGGCCTTTTTTGCTAATGCTGCATGATTGTTCAACCTGGGGTATCAGGACGCTGCATTGGGATACTGATCCATCAGTTCTTCAGCTCCACTCTGATTCCGATCTGGGGTATTGCATAGATTTCTTATATTCTGTCTTTCATGTACTTATGGATAATAAGCTCTTATTTTTTCCTTCAAGTTGTTGAGAGACTGTTCTCTAAGTAACAGAAATTCACTATCCCTAGATTTAGTGCACTTTGATTGCAATTTTTACATTGTTTAATACTCGTAAGATGCTTATTTCTAATTACAAAACTTATTCATGTTTTGAGTCTTTCCTTGGCAAAATGTAAACTTGAAAAATTAATTTCTTTAAAGTAAAAAAGCTTAGAATAACTGTATTTAAAAACAGAGTGACCCCCGTCGTTTCTTACAAATATGTTTATAAAAGCTGTAGCTCATAATAAGCTGCCTACCACCTTTCAAAGGGATTTTATCACTTTTATCTTAGAAGAGGGGTGGATGATAAGGAACTAAATTTGATACAGTATATTTTTGTTGGATCACTGCGGTATTCCTGCAGTACGTATTGAATTAGCTTTCATAGGAGGTTACAAAAACTGAATGAATGTTGTGTAGGTTTTGGCAGCATGTTACAGGTTGTAATTTGACACTAGCTATATCTGCATTTATAGGATCTTCCATAAGCTACAGTCAGAAAGCTCAGAGTTTTTCAGTATCATAGTCTGGAGTAATGTGTTATGGATAAATCACTTGTCAGTGTATGAGTTTCAAGTTAGAGTTGTGCATTCTAAATAGTAGATTATAATAGAATATTATTTTTTTCTTCAGAATAATTGAGCTTTTTTTTTTTAAGCTTTAAAGTCCTAGAATCATTGCTGTATGAACATGACTCATGAGCAGATCTGTTCCACTGAAAATGAATAAGTCATTATGTAGCAGTACCCTAGTAAACCACAAAGAGCAAAACATTAATGTTATGTCCTATAAGCCACATATATATTTGCACATCTTTTTTTGTTGCACATGTATAAATAGCTGCTGATTTAAAATATTATAATAAAATATAAGTCATAATTATGAGACTTCTTCAGAGTTAAGTTTCCACTGGATTTAAGTTTGACTAAGCAGTGCTGACATGATGACCTGGGAATTCTTCTAGGCAAAATATGAAGTTATTAATAACATTAAATATTGTTTCTGATTTCTCTACTGATTTTATTTAGACGTGGACCTGTTAAACTTGGAATGGCCAAAGTTACACAAGTTGACTTTCCTCCTCGAGAAATTGTTACATATACAAAGGAGACGCAAACACCTGTTATGACTCAGCCAAAGGAAGGTGAATGGTTAACTTATTACTACCTAATTTATTTTACTTTTATTAAAATAGTGATGACTGAATTAGAACTAGCACTTGTGATCTTGAAAATTTAGTAAGGTAAAATGAAAGTTATCTGTGAGACAATTGATGTAAATTCTATTATTACATTCATCTAGGTCTACCATTATTACACTGTAGTAACTTTTGTTACTATCACAGCATGAACATCCTGTGTTAAGGCTGCTCCATTCCCCAGCATCCTTGTTCTGCCATCACCTTTTCTACCATCTAAATCATTTATCACTTCCTGTGATGCTGCGTATAATACTGCCTGTTTCCTCATTGTCTGATTTTGGTGGACCTTTTTTATAGTTAGTGTTGTCAACTGGTTATCAGGGCTGTTACCTCTTTAATGTGCTCTATCAGGCAGCAGGTTTTTGGATCTACTCTCTGAAAATACACTTGAAATTGTCTTCCTATCACATGCTCATTTCTTTCTAGCAGATGGCAAAAGCAGGTTCAGCTTTTGCTGAAATAGAGATTCACATGTGAACTCTGCTGTATGTCTTAATGTTCTGCAGGTCCCATGTTGGCCACAACACAGTATTGTAACCTTTGGTGCTACCTTCTTTTTTTTCTTATCTGCACTTCTTGCTACACTTCTCTCTACTACACTATGTCTTCCTATGTGATTTGTTAACTACTCAAATTCACATGGAAAGAAATTAATCACCAGTACAGCTAAGAAGTTTGTTTTGAGTCCTTGAAGTTAATCCAAAGAAAAATAGGCTTACAGGGGAATATGATTCTGCTCACCTATCACAATTAAGGCTTTTCCTGGGCTAACTGGATTCTTGTTACTTGGTGCTGCTGTACAATATTGTGCATGTGTAATCACAACTAACTCTGCAGACTATTGTTGCATTAACTCAACTCTTTTTTAAGGAATTACTCTCTGGTGAAGTCTCCAAGATACAGAATGAAAATATTAAGTATTTTTATCCTTTTAATTCTGACCTGAGCAGAATAGTAGGAATTGGTATATAGGATTGGCTTCTTGGATGCTGTTACAGTGAATATAGCATTTTTACATTTTAATATTTTAAAAAGAAATATTGGTCCCGTATATATTCGTGCATTATTCTGTACGTGCCGTAAATGTACAGTAAGATAGATGGGAAAACTTGATAATACGACATGCAGCTTAACAAAATCCACCCATTTCACAGATGATTTAACTTTGATTATCCTACTCTGCAGCAACAGATTACTCGGACAACTGGAACTTCACTCCAGTGCTATTGCAAGGTGGAGTCTAATTTACAGCACTGCTCTTTCTGTCTTGCCAAAATACATCACAATTTTTATGTTAACTCAAAGTAAAAATGGAGTGGTTCATTAAGCCTGTTTTTAGCATTCATTGACAAGAAATTTGTCGCTATTACATTAGCTGCTATTTTTATGCAGTCTTTACTGCTCAGTTTGTAACCTTAGATCCCCTGTTTGGCTGTCAAAAATAAGAGTGCATATCTTAGCATATTACAGTGAATATTCATCAATATGTTGATGTGACATCGAGTCTCGTTTCCTGTCTTCATGGCCCTACAAATTTTCTAAATCTTAGCAACCTTTTTTAAATGAATTTGGCATACTGACAATGGAAGTGGCAGTGGGTGCAGTTGGTAATGAATAAGCAGGATGAAGTTAGATGGTACTCTTTACGGTTTCCAAATTTACATAGATGACTCAAAATAAATGCAATGTATCACTGTGTCATGGGTTCTTGACTTAACAGATGTGGAACTTTTTCAGCAATATGTTCAGTCTTTCAGTGATTGCTGGGTAATATGTTACTGTTATGCCAGTTCTTTCCAAATACCAGCACCTGGTGTATTACTAAACAAATGTAAGATAAAGGAGAAACAGGAGAAGTAATTAAAGCAAAAATTTCTTATCTCTTGTTGTCCAACGACTTCATGCTGCCTTTTCTGATGGTAAACTTCTGTGAGAAAGCATCCTACTTCTAGATAACGAGGTCAAAAATATGTATATGTGGGGGTTTTGTATAGTATTATTTTGTATAGTTTTTTTCTTTCCAGATCTCTTAAGGAGAAAGTTTGCATGACTTCTTATTCTTTAGAGAAGTTTTAGATTCATGTAGTTGCAGATGAATCAGAGTAAGATGACATGTTCAATTTCAAGTCTGATACTTTGTGAATATTAAAATAAGTGCTGTATCCTGCATTTAAGTGCAGTAATATCAGCTGACTGTATGCAGTGAAAGTACTATGAAGGAATTTAGATCTCTGTATAATACATGCCATTTATGTTTCAAACATTAAAAGGCAGGAGCAATCAACTATATGATCTTTTGAATAAAATATGTAGATTAGAAGGTCACTTAGCACTAAGGGGCTGACCGTCTGCAGTTGACAAGAATTTGACTCCTGTCACTGAAAATGGTACTTAAAATCAGTGTAGTATGACTAATGGGGAGTTGGGCTGAAATTTCTAATTTGGGACTTTCAAAGCTAGAATAATGTATCCAGGGTGACCCAAAACCAAGTTTCTGAATTCAAAAGCATTTTAATCTGCAAGATTGATTGGTAGGGTGAACAACAGGGAATTTGTATCCAAGTGGCTGTAATGTGAATATATGGTCCTGTATTATTTGTTCTCAAAATCGTGTGTGTTAACTCGTATTACGTGTTTTTAATTAATCAGTGTTCACACCTATAGTGATTTGACATTAAGAATTCCACTCTCAAGAATTGCTACAAGTTATACAGTTTTCAGATTACTAGTCTGCTGTACATGCAACTCCATCTAAAAAGGAGCAGTGTCTTTCTGTTTCTCTGTGTGATTATTTTTCCCAAAAAAAGCTTTCATTTTTTTTAAGTAGCACAAAAGCTGTAATTGGCATGCTTTGTAAGGAAGTGTCAATGTGCAAGAGAGTGGAGATCAGTAAGAATTCTTTTACGCGTTCTTTCCCCTTTGCACCACCGCCTCCTCAGCAGGGTCACTGAGATCACTAGCTTTTCTTGAAATGGCCATTTTCACTGGCAGGTGCATTATACCCTGTATTTTCAGATTGTTTTTCCATTCTGAATGTTTGGCAGGTTGATTGCTCTGGCTGCATTGACGGAGAAAGGGCTGACAAATGCGGCTGGGCTGGCTGAAAAGACAGTGATTACTGTTTTCCTTTGTGGCTGATTGAGGCCCTTGAAAGGAAAGATTTTAACCTTCACCATTTGGTTCAAAAATATGAGCATATATTGAAATCATTCATGCCATTTATCCTAGTTCTGTAAACTTGTCAGAACATAAAAATCGCTCAATTTCAAGTAATGTAGGATTGGCATACGTCATTATCATTTTGATTAAGTTGGAGTTTGTATTATTGTGTGCATTATACAGTGTCATTTAAAGCTTTCTTTCCTGCAGGTACAGTTATATTTTTATTGCCTATACTATGGAGTTAGAAAGATTTTCAGACCTCTTTAAACCTATCACTATGTGTGTGGTTTGGCAGCTGGTATGGCCTACAAGCTGTATTTTGTTTGCAGGGTAAAGGCTTGTCTGTAGACCTCCTGGAGTGCTGGTAATTGCACAGGCTTGCCATTGGGGAAAGACATGATTGGAAGCAGTCAGGCAGAAAAATGTTGTGCCATCCCATTGCCACCTCATAGCAGAGAGACAATCCTAGCAGTACCATCTGGTTGTTGCTATCTAGTCAGCTGGCCTGGCTGCTGGGACCATGGCTTGGCAGCTGGTTCCCATCCCTTGGCCACCCTCCCCCCCACCTTTTTTTTTCGTGTGTGCATATGCATGTGGATTTTTTTTAACTTTTTTTGTTAGATAACTTTAAACATGGGTCAGGGAGATGGCTGCAACAAACAAGCCTTGTTCCTGTTGAATACTGACTCATTACTTGTGATGAGGCACATGCAGCACCTTCCTGCTGCCATGCCCTTATAAACAGATGACATAGCTGCTTAACCAATAAAAGTAATCTTTTCAGAAGCTTATTCTAGAAAATGGATGAAGAAAATCCAGGAAATGCATATTTCACAAGACTAAGTAATTTAAAGTTATTTTCTGGCTTACAGTATTCAAAGAATAAAATGTAGACTTAGAGAAAGTGCTGTAAACCTTGTCAGTATTGCCGAGCGTTAACATTTTGTTATTCATTGCAATTAGGGAAAACACATTTTGCTGTAAAGTTCTCATTGCCAAACATGATATAGATAATGAGACTTTCATATAGAATGACAGAAAAAATGTAATCTCCCTGCTATTATCTTTAGCAGAATTTGCCTCAGAATAGCAACCTGAAAGCTAATGTAAGCCATCTTCATGCCATGCAAAGACCCATTAGACTCTGATGGTTTCAGATCACAAGTAAGCAGCTGCTCTGTAGGCTATTTCAGACATTTGTTTTTTCTTTATTCTGCAGCATTAATGTGTCAGTATCTACACAGAACATCCAAGCACCACATGGTTTTGTGTGGAATCATAAATGCTTGTAGAAGAGATTTCTGCTTTGGATTCTTTACAATTTCATGTCTTATTTCAGCTTATACAATTACGTAATGTAGTGCAACTAAATTCCAGGTGTAGACAGTGTTCCAGTGATCTTTTGGTTCAAAATAATGTTAACCTAGGGACTGCATTTTACAAATATAACCATTTTAAGCTAAATTATACCATTTTACATTACTTTATTTAAGATTAATATGGTACGTTATTGTTCCTCTTCACAAACATTGACAGTCTCACCATGATCTTTCTCCTTAGATGAAGAAGATGAAGATGATGTGGTTGCACCAAAACCATTAATTGAACCTGAAGAAGAAAAAACTTTAAAAAAAGAGGAGGAGGAAGAAGGTATTTAAATGTATAAATAATTTTTCCAACATCATTAGAAATACTGTTTTTCTTTCTTGGAAAAAAATTATGTAAGTATGCAGTCCAGAGAGCATATGTATCATTCTTTTCCAGCTGCCCCACATGAACTTACAGAAGAGGAGAAACAACAGATTTTGCATTCTGAAGAGTTTTTAAGTTTCTTTGACCACTCCACAAGGATTGTTGAAAGAGCCCTTTCTGAGCAAATCAACATTTTCTTTGACTACAGTGGAAGAGACTTACAAGACAAAGAAGGGTAATGTGAATGTCAAATACTTACTCTGGATGTGCAATATTTGTAATTAAAAAAGTAATCTAAGATTAATATCTGCTAATTGCCTTTACAGAGAGATTCAAGCAGGAGCAAAACTGTCCATAAATAGGCAGTTTTTTGATGAACATTGGTCAAAGCATCGTGTTGTCACTTGTTTGGACTGGTCATCTCAGGTAAAAAATAATGTTTATGTTAAGCAGTTATCTTCATAAATTCTTCTAGTTCTGTGTACTTGAACCCCTTCTCCAAGTACATTTGGTCCAGACTGTATTTCTAAATGTGTTCCTTGCATGCTCCATAGTTCATGTAAGTGTGGAGTCAAGTAAACAGAGCTGTCAGTCGTTTGTAAAAAGTAGCAAAAGGTTTGTATTATGAAATAAAGTCTTTGGCATATTTGCTTCTGGCTTATATACTACTTTGTAGAGGTAACTGTTAGCTTCACCAAAAAAAGGTATCTTTAAAAGTACTGGGTTTTACGTGTAAAGGCAAGTTATGATGAAAGACAGAAAAAACTCTATTGTATATGTTAATGCTGTTTTATGAGCTAAATTTGAAACAATTACAGTTTTAACTTAGTTTCTCATTTATATATAATGTAAGATGGCTTTTGGTTTTTTAACCCTATTTTGGCAAAATAAAACAATCTAGGATTGTCTGGACCATTAGCTAGTCATCTTGCTTACACTGAGTCTTTTTCATTGATTTTACAGTATCCAGAATTACTTGTTGCCTCTTACAACAACAATGAGGATGCACCTCATGAGCCTGATGGGGTGGCCCTTGTATGGAATATGAAGTACAAGAAAACTACCCCAGAGTATGTTTTTCACTGCCAGGTATGTTGTTGTTTTTTTTCCTCAGGGAGGCTAACGATTTATGTTGATGAATTTAGACAAGTACCTTCCTTATGCTTGTCAACACAGTGATTTCATTGCACTGGCATTCACTTTAACCATATGTATTTGCAAACAGATGTTGATAGCTAGAGATTTCAATTTACAAACATTATTGTGTTTCAGAATTTCTGACATCATTCAGAACACAGTCTTTTTTGAGAACTCCTTAATTCATTTAAAAAACAAAACCTTAGTTAGTGATTGAAGCACATAGAATATTTGTATGTAAGGGGATTGAGTGGGATTGTATACTGCTAGAGCTTAGTTTACTGAATAAAATTAAGATGGCCTGAGGAGATGGAGCAAGGATGAAAACTAGAAACATACGTCAGCTGGAGGTTTTCTGAAAGATGAAAAACATGCAAATCTCTGCCATTATGCCAAGCCCGGGATAGCCACTTTGTTTTCAAAATGCCATAATTCTGAAAAAATACATAGCTGAATCAAAATCTAATCTTGTGTTGTCAGATTACTGTCAAAACCCAGAGCAAAAGAGTAACTTTCTTGTATCAAAATGGATTTGTATGTTCTTTAAGAAAATTACCACAGAATGTGGCAAAATATTATTAAATCTTGTGTACTGCTGGGCCTTCCCTTGCTAGCAAACTAGGCTAGGAGGAATACAAATGTACACATATGTAAGAAAAGAGGAGGAAAACTTTCTTTTTTAATACATATAAAAACTATGTTCAGAAAGGATTTGTGAACCCTTACGTAACTGGACAGTGAAATAGTGTATTGATTAAATCTAGACAAAAAACTTACTCTGGTATTTGGTTCCATTTTCTTTAGTTTTGGACACAGCATCATTGAATGATGGTTTAGTAGTCACGGGATGTGGGGCTGATGGTTGAAGGTCTTTTCCAACCTTAATGATTCTATGATAGCTTGTGTATTTTGTTTGCTTTTTTCTTTTCAGTCAGCAGTGATGTCAGCAACATTTGCAAAATTTCATCCCAATCTTGTGGTTGGTGGCACATACTCAGGCCAAATAGTGCTGTGGGATAATCGCAGCAATAAGAGAACCCCAGTGCAGAGAACTCCACTTTCAGCTGCTGCTCACACGGTAGGGGGTGAAATGTCTTCAAGGACTGTTCCCTGTTGAGATGTAGTTAACCTCTAGGAAACTCTGTCCAGTGCACTTGATTGATAATGCTTAAATGTTTATATCCATACTTTGCCAATGCTATCACTGAAGAACTAGGCTATTCATATAAATCCAAGTGTCAGAAAAAGAAACACCCAGTTTGTAAGGGAATACTGGTTGTATCATACTGTGATCAATCTTCTCTGCTTTGTTAAATTGTGAAGTTGTGTATTTTACTGTATATTAATGACACTACAATTGGTGATTACTTGGAAATCTGTTTTTCTGATAGTATTTTACATTTCTTAGCACCCAGTATACTGTGTAAATGTTGTTGGGACCCAGAATGCTCATAATTTGATTAGTATCTCAACTGATGGGAAAATATGCTCTTGGAGTCTGGACATGCTCTCCCAGCCACAGGTAAGGTGACCATATATATGTATATATATAATCTATTCCAGATTAATCTATTGTTAAAATGTAATTAATCTAAAAAGACTTAATAAACACTTTCCCAACACACAGAATTATACTTAAGGTAGCTTGATAAGTATTTGATGAAATATTTCCCCAGTCAAATATTGCTTGTTGATTTTTTTGTTTTTGTTGCACTTGTGTTAGCAGTAAACACAATTTTAACAAAAAATAACTTTCTTATTCTGACCCAATTCAGTACAAGCAAAATACAAAAAAAATCAACCCATTCTATTGGAAAAATCTAAATTACTTTGCATATTGTAATATTTTGATGTTTTTTAAATTAAGTTGCTGATATTTTCACCACAGGATAGCATGGAGCTGGTTCACAAACAGTCCAAGGCAGTGGCTGTTACTTGCATGTCATTCCCTGTTGGAGATGTCAACAACTTTGTTGTTGGCAGTGAAGAAGGCTCCGTATACACTGCCTGTCGTCATGGCAGGTAAATACAAACTTTAACTATTCAGAGGGAAAAAAAAGTGAAAGGATAAGTCCCTTCATGCTTTACACTCCCAAAACTATTCATAGTGCATGTTGACTCCTTTGTCTTGAAAAAGTTCAAAATAGCTGTATATGAGTTCCAGTGAGCACTTCTCCCTCAGTAAGGGTAAAGGGATTAAATTGCAATATTGAATTGTTACTGTGCTGCATTCAGTGACGGGGACTTCTCTGTGCCAGGAGGGCCAGGCAGGTCACTGTGGTTTCATTCATTGAATTGTAGCAGAGCTTTCCAAACTTTGTATCTGTTCCACTGATAATTGTACAGTAACATCACGCACAAATCTTGAATTGGCTAGCTTTTCTCATGCTGTTCAATCTATTTTGAAATTGTCTGACTATATCTTATCAATTGCTTTCTTAAATATAACTGAGTGTTCAGGTTTCATCTCAAAAACACATCTCCCTTGCTGCACAGCTTTTTGCTTCCAAAATACCTCAATTGTATCACTTTAATGTAACATCTTTCCCATCTCTTCCTTCCTTCTTTTTGATGGCTCCTGATAGGAAACGATTAGGGATACAGTGTTACTGTTTGTCTGAACTCAGTGTCTATACGGTACATTCAACTGCTCTTAAGTCAGTAGGAGCTTTATGCTCTATGCTCATTCCTAAGGACTGGATTTTGTTCTTTGTATGAGTGGAAGTTTTAGCTCCTGCTTGGAGAACAATGTAGTTCAATGTGGGGACTGGTACCTCCTGAAAGAGTCTCTTTGTCCTGTGGTATATATTGGCATTTAAGATTAGCAGAGAACACATACTGAAGTCTGATATTCAAGTGTCTGGTCGTCTTTGTTCCTGTTGTGATGAAGCCTTTTGCAGTGGGGTAACATCCATACAAATCAGCACAATCTTGTGGCTGTATTTAAATTGCATTTCTCTTTCTGCAGATGTATGGTTTCCAGATAAATTAACCTTGGTTATGTATTCTAAAACAGCAAAGCTGGAATCAGTGAGATGTTTGAAGGACACCACGGACCAATCACAGGTATCAACTGTCATGCAGCAGTTGGACCTGTAGACTTCTCACATCTTTTTGTCACCTCTTCTTTTGACTGGACAGTAAAGCTTTGGACGACTAAGGTAACTTAGATAGTTCAGTGGTTTTCTTTGTAGTTTTTGACACAAGGTGGTGCTATAATGTAAGCTACTTAAGAACCTTCAGTAAACTGAAGTAACATCGTCTGAAGCTCTCTAGGTTCCTAGCAGCAGTCCTACAAAGAGGAGACAGCTGATGAACAAAACTAGAGTTAACATCATAAAGCTTTGCTTTCATATTGTATCTCATTTGTATATTTCTGATCCATTCTGTTCATCCTTTTGCTGTTTGTTATCAACAAAATTGTGTTTCAAAGTCGGTTGCTTCATATTATGCATAAAGCAAATGTTTTGCTTTAGTTTTGTGAGGACTAAGACAGCACCAAACTGGTGTCAGTTAGGATCCATGAGGCTCACAACTGACATGTGTGTCCTTGCCACTACCAGACCTACCTCTTTCTGTATTAGTCAGATGCTCTGAGGAATGCAAAGCAGAAGCAGAGTTAGAAGCTCCCAGTAATAGTCTGGAGTGCTGTCACTGAATTACCACTGGCTTAATTTACAAGATTCTTAATGCATTAAATTTACCATCTCTTGCAATATTGTCTTCCTAGCCATTGTTCTGTAGTAGCAGCCAGCAAAGAGGCTGCATGCTTTGCAAAGTGTGCCTTTAATAATTGCATTACATTTTTACTGCATTTTGCACAGGCATTTTTTTAAAGTCTAAATATGAATCACTTCTTAGTTACTGCTGATGATGCTGTTGAGGAGTTCTGTATCTGCCTTACCTGTCAGCTTTAGAATTCTGAACTGTAGAGTTAGACTATAGCATTGTTATGCTTGGTTTTTTCCAGAACAACAAACCTCTTTATTCCTTTGAAGACAACTCAGATTATGTTTATGATGTGATGTGGTCTCCAACTCATCCTGCCTTGTTTGCCTGTGTGGATGGGACAGGCAGGCTTGACCTGTGGAATCTCAACAATGATACTGAGGTAAGGCAGTAAGGTTAACTGTCAAATGTAGCTGGAAAAGTGTTTGTAAACATAGAAAAATATGTTGAGAGTTTATCATAGCAGTTTGGTTGGCTTTTTTGTTGTTCCTGACTATTCTCTAGTTACAGTGGTTTCTGTGCTATAGATATATATGCTATATATATGCTATAGATACCATTTTTTTATTAGACGGTTGTAACTCAAATGACTCCTCATAATGAGTAACAGCAGTAATTAAATTGGCTTACCCATAACAAGAGTGCCACAAATCTGCCAGTGTAACACTGATCCATGTTAAAGTGATTATAGACATCCCCCAGTATGGCCCTAGTAGCCTTCAGGTGAACAGTACGAACAAACCTGTTACCACACACCACGGTTGTTCCTTTTGCCATAGCAATACTGCAGTGGAACTGTGATCTGTTTCTAAACTTGGAGAACTGCATGTTTGGGTTTCTGGTATGAGTTGTAAATTTGATTATCTTATAAATCTTTTCAGAGACTTGTAGGAGGTAGGAGAAAGGAAAAAACAGACAGATATTCGGTACTTAAATTTCACCTACCTAAAACTGTGTATAGAAGAAAGAACAGTTCTTTAGGAACTATAGGAACATATGCCAGCTTATGGCCTCAAACTGGAAATACGTGGTTCTGGCCTTTGAATTTGACCTGCCAAAGCAGCTGATTTCATTCCTGCCTTCTGTCATAACCTTCCTTGAGATCCCAGGGCTCTAACTGATGCATGTCTATGCTTCCAGTCTTGTGACAAGATTGCAGAAGTGCTTTTTGATAGAGGTTGTTCTTTGGCCAAGGGACAGAAGATGTGTTATCCTGGTTGTATCACTGGTGATAGCTTAGGGACACTGAGGGTCTTTGAGATCTACATACTCTGCCTCAGTAGAAATGTTGAGCACTTCTTTTGATTCAGCACTGAGGGACTACATGTGTTCTGTGGAGTATGGAATCCTTGTGCATTTCTAGCAATGTGTTTTAAATGGATACAGGTGCCAACTGCAAGCATTACTGTGGAGGGCAATCCTGCTTTGAACCGTGTGAGATGGACACAGTCGGGGAGAGAGATTGCTGTAGGTGATTCAGAGGGACAAATAGTTATATATGATGTGGGTGAGGTATGTATACCATGCATTGTGCAAAGTACATTACAAAACACTCACATTTCTTTCACTTTTACTCTTAGAAACTTGCTTTTAACATTTTTCTCCTGTGATTAGAGGAATAGGATTTGATTTTTAATTTCAAATTAATGTTTCCTTTTTTTCTCTATTTCAGATATTCTAGCATAGCTTCTTAGCATGCCATCTGGCAGCCAATAAAAAAGTAAAAACAATATTGTAAGGCTGGTGAAATAAGAAGAATCAGTTGTTTTGTTTGTTGAGATTTTAGCTTCTTTGTAACTGGCACAGTTGAATTCTGACCATAGACTGACAAGTACTGATCAAAACACTGTGCAGCAAAGCAGTTTTGACTCGTTTCTTACAGGGAAGCTGCTGCTGTCGCAAGTATGTGTACTGCAGCGTTAGGTAACTGATTGGATCAGGACATGGCATTAGTATTCCCCTTTAGAGGCTCTCTCTCAGGTGGAGACCTATCATATGAGCTTGTAATAGTATCATTACATACTGAAGTACAGGATCCTCCAATTCTGTTTCTTTAATGAGTTAGAGCTTTTGATGTTTGGACTGTTTTAAAAGTTATACTAAATAAAGGTAAGATTTTCTATTGGAACCTCTTCTGAACACTCTTTAATCACTCTGCTGTTTGAAATTAGCTCAGTTTTTCTTTATCAGTAGGTTTAAATAACCTTCTCTTTGTCAACAGCAAATTGCTGTTCCTCGCAGTGACGAGTGGACTCGATTTGGCCGAACCCTGGCAGAAATAAACGCTAACAGAGCTGACGCAGAAGAGGAGGCTGCAACCCGCATACCAGCCTAGATCTTTAGAAATGAGCAGCAGTGGGAGACTTGGGAGTGATATGATGCAAATCTTAAAAGTCTAAGAATGTGTCAGTTCAAACAATAGCTTAGGGGAGGAATATATGGATTCAACTGTGGATTTTAAAATGTATTAAGATGACTGAAAATCAGATCTTGCATTGTCACTTTTTATATATAAATTACAAACGCATTCTTGGATTTCTGCAACTTTTAATACAGTTAACTTTGATTTTGCAAGGAAAGACTTTTGCTGAAACACTAACCTGGTGTAAATTTGCTTTGAGCTGATAAAGTACCCACTTTTTAACAGTTATCTATTTCTGAACAGTAAAGGTTGTGTTTCTAAACTAAACTTTCTATATTATGCAGACTAGCCTTCATTAGGTAGTAAATCTCTGAAGCATTCTTTAATTTGAACTCTTGAAATTACCCATGGATATGCATGCATATGTTCCAAGTAAGTTTCATTGTTAATATATAGATAAGCCTCAGACTCGGGTAGTGGGTAATATATGTGAATAAAAACTTGTCTGTAGTTACAAAGTTATTTGATAATTGGACCTGAATTAATTAAAGACATAGTCAATACCAAGTCCTTTTGTTTGAATTGGTGCATTAAAAAGTGAAACTGATTCATAAATAAATACTACATGAGCACTTGTCAGCTGTCCTGACTCCTAATCTGTGTCCCTTTAGTAGTTTGAGAGTAGAAAGTTCTGGGGCTGCTACTTTCATTTTACTACACCCATCAGAGTTGCTTTCTACTCCCAACCTTCACTTCCTATTCATGGCAATCAGCCAAAAGGAGTAAGGTTACTGTTGTAAATTTTTTCTTTTCCAAAGAATAAGGAACTAGATTTTACTTCGTTTCTATAGCATGATAATTTGCATTCTGTAAACTACAGACTTGCTAATAATTTTTCATATTAAGATAAAGAAATATGTTTTTATTGCTTTTTTAAATTTTTTATTGAAAAAACAAAACCTCTTAATGGCCTTAAGCAGAATGGTTGGAATTTCTGTTAAAGGTTAAATTTTTTAGTACTTCTTTTTTAGGATGTTATAAAATTTTCAATCAAGACTGGGTTTGGGGAGTCAGGGGGGAGAGTTGTTTCTTGTCTGTCAATTTTTGTGGGTTTTTTTAAGGAAATATTCTGACTTGTACTAAATAGGCACTAAACCAGTACTGATGCCTTTAACTTTAGGACACTAGGTTTGTTTCTAGTATTCTTAATCTGCTACAAGCTTATCACTTTGCCAGAAGAGCTGTTTTATTTGCTTAAAAGTAGAAAATAAGTTTATATTCCCTAATCAGTTTTATATCCAGAAGTATCTTTTATTTCCTCATTTTTTGTTAAGGTTTTGGTTTTTTAATTTCTTCTTGTCCTCAGTCCTGTTACAAGCAGCTCATAGAGACGTGGGCAGCAGTAACAGCAGTTCTGTATTTAGGAGGTTCTCTTTTTCAGTAGGTTTGAAAGTTAAATGTATTTATGCTTCCATTGGTGTTGGTTTGTCAAAAGTGACAATGCAAAGTGATGCTGTTCAGTTTGACACTTGTCTTTTATGTTTTCCTCAACCTTATGACAGCAGCCATCTGTTGAGAAACGTGAACTATATAAAAAACAGCCATGTCATGTGATAATTTTTACCCTTTAGGCACAAGAATTCTTCACAAGCAGTATGTTCTGTTGTCTTGCTGCCTTTGGTTTACTGAGATTGTATTATTTAATTATACATTTCCTTCAGATTTATTTTTTTTCAGCATTTCAGTAGGTAGGGCTTTCTTTCAGTGGACTGTGGCATAAACACGTGGGTCATGTGGCATTAGTTCTATGTCATGTCAACCTTGTAATAATTTTCAACAAAACTATTCTGTATTAATTCCTGCTTGTTTCCTCCCTCACCAAATAGTTGAATACAGGTTTAAAATGTTGTAAAACCTGTACCTGCAACATTAAGAGACCAACAGTGATGCTAGCTAGTCTAAATGATCATCCTGGGAGCCTCACCATTCACTTTTGGAGCTGGAAGAAATACAAATACTGTCTTGCATTGTAAAGTCTCCTAAGGCCATGATCAAGTCAGTCAACACGCTGTGACTAAGATTAAATGCCAGTGGGTACCTACCATTTCTGTATCTATTTAGAAAAGCGCAGAACAAAAGCATGGGAGAGAGTTCCTGGGAAGCCTGTCTCTATCAGACTGCACAGGACAGGTAATGCTTTAAACAGGAAAAAACTAATAAGGACAGGAAGCCTTCTACTGGGGTTATATATATGCATGTTGCAAAACAGTGATCAAACTCCAGAGTTCAATGTATTGTAACCTTTATCTCACTAAATATTATTCAGCACCAAAATATTTTGTATCTTGCTTAGAGATGAGAATTAAAGGTGGGCTGGTCTGTGTTTGTAGTGTTTGGTTTTTAAGAAGCCCTTTCTTTATAAGCTGACTAAAGCTCTTCATATTGGCCTGCTGTCAGCTGAGCAAGAAAATAACAGAACCTCAGATCAGTTTATACCACTGGGATATACTGTGCTCCAGGATGTTTAACTTGACAAAGATTGATGGTTGTCTTATTTCAGTAAGCAAGACTGGAAACCCACCCATCTGTCCTCTCACTTTATGGGTAGTATAACTACTTTTCCTCTAGGACTGTAGAAATCTAGATGCCATTATTTCCTCTGACACTTTTGCATTTAAAAATTACACCAGATAAATTTTTGGCAGACATTAAGCCAGAAAATGTTAGAAGGTTTTTCTCTTCTCTCCTTTTACTTAGCATTTCATTGAAGAGGAAGTCTAAACCATCAGTTTTGCCCATAAAAATATAAAAGTTAGTTGGATTTGTTTTTTCTCAGAATAACAATCTGTCAGTGGTAAAAAAGAGAATGCCTGCCTTTCTTTTACATAAAAGTTTTCCATTCTGGAAAAAAAAGAACTGAGTAATAAATCCTGTAAAAATTTAAGTCTGCTAATAACTGGCAAGTATTGCATTTTAAGTATGCAACCATAGAGGTAGGATCTATTATACACTTAATATTACTATGTAGTTCAAGGGAATTCCTTGTTACAAAGTAGTGCTGCAAAATAAAATACTGCATGTCCTCATGGAGCTACTGTGTTCTCTTACCCTTAACAAGCCAGCACATTGCATTTTGATACCTTTGCTGTAACTAGCAGTGAAATGCATTCCTTCAGAAGCTGTGTCTTGTACTGTATATTCATTAAATGGGTGCATCTGTCTTTAAAGTTTAATCTGTAATCTGTGGAGAAAAAAAATAACACTGGGCAACCTCTCTATAAACACAAAGAACTGAACTGACTGAAGTGTTTTTAAATATTTTATTGTCACGATTGTTAACAAAACTTCAAAACATTCTGTACATTTCAAACTATTTTGAGCTGCAATACCCATTATATAAATGTACGTGTATAGGTGCCATGATGTCTCTGTACAAAGATGTACAATATGTACAGTAACATTAAGTGCAAGCTGTGCAAGGCAAAGTCTAGGCTACAGATTCATGCCACTGGTTCAAACAAGGCATAGAACCACAGCTTCAATCAGTTCCTTGTGTGCAAATAAACAAATAAATGCAGGTATATATTAATATTATAAAGGAGTAATTAGATTTGCAAGCTCAGGCCAGCTAGAACAACATGCAGCTGACTGGAAAAAATACAGTACTACTCTTGTGAACTTTTTCCACTGCATCACTTTGTTAGGTTGAAACATCTTTTCAGGATTCAGCTGCTACTTTTTTTGAGTGACCTAAGGTGGTGCCAGATGATCGAAACTTTGGAAGATACAAACCAAATTTATTTTCTATACCAGCAAATGTAGCTGTAGCAAGTCTGTATCCACCTATGTGCTCAGGGTTAACAGGAGGAAGATCTGAAATTCGAGTTTTTGGGGTAGGTTCTGATCCAGAAGGTTTGCTGTTTGAAGAAAGAACAATATTATGAGAAAAAAAAAAGCAGCCTTTCCTTTATTTACAGTGTTTTCTTAAGCCTGAATAACTTTACAAAATCTAGCCTAAATACTTAGGGCTTTTGTCTGAGTATGGAAGACTGTTAAAGCACTTAATTAATGCACTGCTGTGGTCAAGTAAAGTTGAATTCAGACCATGACTTAATGGGAAATCAAGGCCACTGAATTTACATTGTTATCGATAGCTTTGTAAATTCTTCTAACTTCCAGTCACTCAGTGAAAATGGACAAAATATCTTGCTACAATAGAAATAAAATTATATTAAGCAATTTAAAATGAACATGAACTGGTTCTTTATCTCCTCACCTGTTTAGAAGTAGCATGCTAGTTTCTCTTAGTTGTGTAAGGATGGGGGGGATTTTTTGCATACTGCAATTTTAAGTACAGATGCTCAAAGTCACTAAGTGGTGACTTTTTTTGTAACTTGACAGGTATTTTGTGCAAGCTCAAAAGCAAACATTTGACTTACAGGCCTCCAAAATCGACATAAAACCATCTCTGCAGAAGTTCATAAGTGACCAAAGTAACACCAAACTGAGGTGAAGATCTGAACACACGAGCTGTTAAATATTACAAACCATAGTGTCAAAGAACATACTTTTTCAGGAGAGAAGATAAACGTTTCTAACAAGATGTTACATTTTTCAGAATCAGACCTTGTAAATACACCTCTAATTTGAGTCCTTAACAAAGGAGGGTCAGCCCTAATATTCAGAGTGCATTTCTCACCTCCAGCTCCTTTCCAAAAAGCCGAAGCGCCTTCTTCTCTCAGAATCTTCCTGAAACAGTCAACAACTCCACTGTATGTTGTCTGGCCAGCGCGAGCTGCCACTTGCAGTCTTGTCTTGATGACATCAGCAGGGGTTACCAAAGAAGCAGCAGGCACACCTTTTAGAAGAAAACCACATCTAATTTGCACAAAGAATCTTGTAAAAGATGAAACACTTCTAACTGAAAAATACAGCTGCAAACTTTAGTATTTTTTTGCAAGAATTGGACATTACTAAAACTGCAAATTCTTACAATTGATGCTAATAGAAACTGTTGTGCTTGGTATGGTCCTTTTGAGTCTCATAAATGCAAAGGCTTAACTGATAGTAAAGAAAATAATAAACTATCAACAGCAATTGTCCACATATCCTAGGTCTGTCACTAACAGTAGTTTCAAATAGATAAAAGATATTTTTAAATGCATACATATGCAATATACATGTAATAAGAGGTATCCATGACAAAAATCAGTTGTGCAACCTTACTTTATTTACTAATACTCTACAACATATTTTGATAATTACACAGATGATCGATTTGGGTACTTGAATCCTACACCTAAAGGTGTAGAAGAAAACTTACTTAAAACACCTATTCTACAGAAATACATCTGTGCTGCTGTTTGGACTGTGCTGTAGGAGAATAGATGCTGCTTACTTCAACAGGCAAGCCATAAAAAGACTGAGGACAATGAAGGTGTTTTACAAGTCTGCTTAGTACCAACAGCGTGATATTAGCCAACAGTGATGGAAGAACAAATCTCCACTCCCAAGGCACCACTCTCGGCTTTCTAGTCAAAGGAAAGGAGAAAGTTTTCAGAAATGTACTCCACAGTATTTAACTGTGTTATCTGAGATATTTCTGAATACTTCTGAATACTGTAAAAATGT